CTGTCTCATTGCGAATATGTGGTCAAAGGTATCCTGTCTAATCCTGCCCATCTTAGCAGGCATTAAATCTTTGGCAGAAACGGGTTATCGCTTAACTAGACGGTAGCTATATGGATCCAAGCAACAACCTCTCTCTGAATATGGGGACCACCATTTTTTTCGTTCATTTATTCTGAAGCTGTTCCTTCTGTCATTCCAATCCAAAGGATCAACTAATGCAGGCACTTAATTCATTCTGGTCTCCTTAATTAGCACTTGTCAATTCTTGCAGCTCTGCTATTTTCGAGGCTAGGTTTGAAACAGCAGTCGATTTTCCTGAATCAGGTATTCGTATAGCTTTTTGGAGATGTACCTTTCGTTATTTCGACTTGCCTCTTCCACAAAATTGATTTGTAAGTTTCTTTCTTTATTTCATCTCTAAGACTTTGTCTGTAATCACTTTTAGGAAGCCTGCTCTTTTCTTGCGACCGTTTAGCTTCCAAACTTATTCACGGCTTCCCTCGACGTTACTTTCGTCCCAATATCTCTTCAGCCGTTGCCATTCTGCCGCTTCTTTCGGCTCTTCTTATATGATGCAAGATTTTATACCGATATATCGAATGAATATTCAACAACGAACCTGGATCTTCCACTGAACGTGATCTGGTGCGATTGGGATACTGCTGGACATTTACGCAGGTCAATCTAAAACTTGCTGCACACCAATGGATGTTGATCAAAGACCAGAGCTTGACTTCGACTTTAGCCTTTACCAGCTTGATCATCTTCATCCATGAATCTGTACACCCTGACACCTCCCAGGCATGCTCCGTGAGTTTTGTGGTGAGAACATAGTCAATATGGTTTCCGGTTGAGGGATCAGAGTAATGCAATGTGGTCGTATGCATTGATGTGTGAGGAGACCACGTACCTATAAGAAATAGATCGTCCATTTCACACAGCTTCATTTGAGTTTTTAAACCTCTTTATCCAAGCAATCAATCCGCGACCGCTCGGATGCCGATGGCTGTAGGGCAAAACCGGTAAAATACGATCGATACTGGAAACATGAAAAAAAACGCATCTGTTCCTGCCCTAAGCGGTTGTGGGTGCCACTTGGCAACGAGCAAAAGAACTAACCGTTGCTTATTAGTACCCTGTCGTCTTTGTGCACCGACTCATAACCAGATCTTACGGAACGCAATAAGAAAAGCAGTGACAAATATTACGAGGTTAACTGCGACAGCCCAGATAATGATAGGTCGTGTCTATTCAACTGAAGCGCTGCCATTTCGCAGTTGCTGAATGGCAGACGGAGACGACCGTTGAATGGTAGACCCCAGAAGAAATGTTTCTACTGGGCAATGAATAAAAGTGTTTGGTCGTGCCATGAGACCGCGCAATTCTACAGAAAATTACTTTAGCCGCTTCGCAAAAGAAAAACGACTTGGACAGAAAAGCTGACCTCACGATTGACTGCCAAAATTGCAGGTACCGACCCTACTGACTCGTCTACCAATTAAATGGGTAATATGCGCCGTTTTATTTCAGCAACGTCCTCGAAACTTGGAGTCAAAGAAGTATCGTCCAAGCCTTCGACTGTTCTTCATAATCAATCCAATA